TGTAACGGGGCTGACAAGACGTGAGACATGTGGATCCATCTGCAGGCTTTAAATAAGAGACGTGGTAAACAGGCAGGGTCAAAACACTGCCAAACAGGTATATGGCGGGCAAAACACAAGAATAGTCACAGGGCTAGCGTAGGTCACCGATAAGCAGACAGAATCACAGGGGCGAGACGAGAGGGAGAAATCCAAGAAAACAGGCAAAGATCAAAAACCGCAAAAACAGGCAAGGCAAAACAAGGAAAACACGGAAAGGGGTACAGGCTAAACAAAACTCAGCAGAGAAATGTGGTTAGAGTGGGTGTTATATAGTGAGTGAGGTGATTAGAAACAGCTGTGTGCAATCAGTGCAGTGTGCAAATCATGCAAAGAATGATGGGATATGTAGTCCGGGGTGCTATGCAACAGTTTGTGTTGTGCGAGAGTCAATGAAATGGAAAGGGTGACCTCTGGTGGTGAATAAACGGAAGTCCATAGACCGAATTCGTGACAATAGTAAGCATAGAGCCATGTGTAACAGTATATTAGATCCGCGCATGAGGTCTTAAAGAGACAGCAGCCTAAATAAACCTCCTGCTGCCTTTCATTATACAGTGAAGACTAACCAGTGTTATTTTACAGTGGAATAGATTATAGTTAGACCTAAATGAAAAAAATTACAGTACTGTTAATTTAATATGTATCTTGTTATTGTTTTTATTTGTGCTATTGCTTGTCAATAATTTATTTGTTCTTATTTTATTATTTACTATTTACTTGTCTTTTTTAGTTAAAATAAATTCAATTCTGAGTGCACATGATTCTTAGGTGGGGAGGGGGCGTGGTCCATGGGAAATAGTCCTGCCACCACAGCTGGAAAAAAGCCTAGGAATCACTGCATACATTTAATACAATTAGAAAAATGCCATTACAAAGGTAAAAATGCCCCTGTAAATCACTTTGAGTCAAATGTCACCTCATATTAGGAAGGCTAATTTCTGATCAGAATTTTTTATTATTGATCAGACGGTGCTCCTAAATGTTTTTAATTATGAGGACAAGCGCTCCTAATTGCAAGAAAAAAACTGCTCTTAAACTGGGTGTGTGACAGGTATGGCTGTGGAATGGGGTTTGGCTGAGGAAAAATTTTCAGTCAAAAGATTTTTTTTTCTTTAACCCCTGCATCCAGCCCCGGGAATGCATAGCCGTCATCTCTGGATCTGATTTGAGCAACGCCACTCTCCCCGAAGGGGGCAACGCAGCCAAGTTGTCATCCCCGGAGAGAGAGCTCACCCTCTGATGCAGCGATCAACATCTGGTCTTCAGGGGGAGCACCGAAGGATACGGGCGGTACACTCTGTCCTGCAGAGGGCCCAGCGCACACCTCCGGCAGCTCCACCGGCTGCAGAGTGCTTGAGGGGTGAGGAACTTCCTCTGGAGAAGTCCTCACCATGATCCTCAAATCACCTCTGACTCCACCGGAAGCAGCGATGCCCCAGGTTCCGGGACGAACGCTGGCTTTTTTGCAACTCTGAGATTGTCATGTCCCCACACAGAGAGCATGCACCATCCATAAAAACTTCCTCAGCGTGCTTAATGCCCAGAAACGTGAGGCAGTGATCGTGACCGTCCTGAGGCGCCAGGTAATGACCACATCCAAAAACGCACGGGTGATAAGACATCTTTAAAAAGATGCGATCACTCTTCTTTTAGGGATTGCTCTTTTAGTGCTGAAGCTCACAGGGGAGCTGGCCACCGCACACTCCTGGTGTGGCTGTCTACACGAAGAGTGATCTTTTTTCCTCTTCCCGTGAGACCGTGTCCACTGCTGCTGAGCCGTAACACCCGCAATCACTCGAGTAGTGTAGTGTACCGCAGTAGTGATGCAGCACCGCTCTGCACCAAAGTGAATAGATGAATGAATGCGGTGCACCTGCTGCCTCTTATGCCCACGCTGCGGGGCTTGGCAGCCAGATGAGAATTCCGCATTCCAATGTTAAATGGCCCGTTTAGTTACACTCGAAATGGATTGGTCTCTCTGGCGAGATCCCCAAATTCGTCGGTCACCGACGTGACGTCGAGAGTGACCGACTGAAAGGGAACAAACTCATCTACATTTTCAGCAAATGTGACCCTGGAGCACAAAACCAGTTATAAGTAGCACGGGTGTATTTGTAGCAGTAGCCAACAATACACTGTATTGGTCAAAATTATAGATTTTTGTAATATCCAAAAATCATTAGGATATTAAGTAAAAATCATGTTTTCATACAAACACTTGATTTGCAAGTTCAAATAGAAATGACACATGAGTTTTAATTGAACTGGAGCACAAAACCAGTTATAAGTAGCACGGGTGTATTTGTAGCAGTAGCCAACAATACACTGTATTGGTCAAAATTATAGATTTTTGTAATATCCAAAAATCATTAGGATATTAAGTAAAAATCATGTTTTCATACAAACACTTGATTTGCAAGTTCAAATAGAAATGACACATGAGTTTTAATTGAATGCAGCCTAAGAGTGTTTATTTTGTCCAGAAACAGTATAAATGATGTCCAAATGAGACTGCGGTTGACCTTATAAGACGTTGAAAATACATCCACAATGACCATATCTGAACTAAAGTTGAACCTTCAAGAGACTTTCTGTGGATGTCAATATTGGACGCTCAGAAGACTTCTGGCTCCTCAGGGGACGTCATTTCAGCATGCAACAAAGACATTGAAAAGTCGTACTTTTTGGGTGGGGGACTTACAAGACATTGTGCCCAAGGGCCTCTGAATTCTTAATCTGGTCCTGCATGTAATAACATTATCATTAATATTTGTGTATTTTCATTGTTCTTTTGTGTTTTATAGCAGTTTATTTTAATGTTTCATGAATAGATAGCAGATCTTTGTGATTCTCGAGGTGATTCATTCTTCAAACCGTCGTTCAGAAAGTGAAAGTAAAGTTTAGATCACTGGAGCTCAAAGACTGAAAATGGCTTCTCTTTCTGAAGATGATTTTTCTTGTCCTGTATGTCATGAAATCTTCAAGAATCCTGTTGTTTTGCATGTAGTCACAGTTTCTGTAAAGAGTGTCTTCAGCAGTTCTGGAGAACCAAGAAAACTCAGGAGTGTCCCGTCTGCAGGAGAAGATCCTCAAGAGAACAGCCTCCAGTTAATCTAGTGTTAAAGAACTTGTGTGAGTCATTGCTGAATTTTCACACAGGCCCAGTTAGTATTGGAGAACTATTTTGCTTCAATTAATAACTTTGTCATTTACAAACTGTGCAGTACGAGCAGTATGAGATGTTCACAAAAACAAAAAAATCTGAATCAAAAATGCTTCTGCACTGCATTATATGATCATATCACTGTATCGTCGTCTCTTCTTCTTTCACTGTAATCTGGTGTTTTATGGATTTTTATGTTATTTAATTCTAGGAGGAGCTCAATACAGCACTGAAATCATTACAGCAGAAACTTCAACACAATGAAGAAATGAAAGGAGAGTTTGAGAAAACAGTTCAACACATCAAGGTGAGGAAACAGAATCCAGAGTCATCTTCATCACAGCTGTAGATCACTAAATACAGTTATGATCTGATATATTTAATATAATGAACTCCAGCTGATTATTTGTATAAGTGACATTAATCAATCTGCTTCTGGATGCGTTATATGTCTGTATCTGAGTTTCTCTCAGGTCTGAATGATGTGATTGTGTTGATGTGTGTCGATGGAGACGATTGAAGTGAATGTGGTTTGATTTCAGTCTCAAGCTGAGCACACAGAGCGTCAGATTAAACAGCAGTTTGAGAAGCTTCATCAGTTTCTCAGAGATGAAGAAGAAGCTACAATCACTGCACTGAGGGAGGAAGAGGAGCAGAAGAAGCAGATGATGAAGGAGAAGCTGGAGGAGATGAACAGACACATCTCAGCTCTTTCACACACAATCAAAGACATGGAGGAGATGATGAAAGCCAGTGACGTCTGCTTTCTGAAGGTCTGATTTCAGAAGATTGATTATGTGTTCACTCTTGATCATTATATGAACATCAGAATAACAGCATCTGTTGATTGTGTCTCATCAGCTCCTGTGATTCTGGATCCAAACACGGCTCATCCACGTCTCGTTCTGTCTGATGATCTGACCAGTGTGAGAGACAGCGGTGATGATCAACCTGTTCCTGATAATCCAGAGAGATTTGACTGTTATTCCTGTGTTCTGGGTTCAGAGGGGTTTAACTCAGGAGCACACTGCTGGGAAGTGGAGCTTAAACAGAGTTCAGAATGGAGACTTGGAGTAACTACAGCATCAAACCAGAGGAAGAGAGGGGGTTTCTTTAACACTGATGTCTGGAGTGTGTGGTACGGATGGTCTTCAGGTTCTGGTTTTCGTGTTACACAGAAACTTGATCGTGTGAGAGTGAATCTGGACTATGACGGAGGAACAGTGTCCTTCTCTGATCCTGTAACTAACACACATCTACACACATTCACAACCTCCTTCACTCACACACTCCTTCCTTTCTTCTGTAATTATGATTATTCCTCTCTAAGGATCTTATCGATCAATAGTCAGTAATCTGGAGCTCTGGATCTTCCTGCTTTCATCTTTCATCATGTTTCAATATTTAATCACATGAGTAAGAGATAAGTTATACAGTTATACTATAATTACAGTTAGATAACGTGAGAAACAGCTTAATAGCGACCGTAACCAGATGCTAGTTGTTATATTAGTACGTTTTTAGTCTTGTGTTTTTTTAAAGGTTTTTTTGGGGTTAAATGACTTTTGTAATATTCACTTATACTGTATGCTTATGTGAAAATCTTTCGTAAGAGCAGTATTAAAATAGATGAATGAATATGCAGAAGTTGCCTTAAAGAATTTTAACAATGTTAAACATTTAGACTAATTCATCTTAAACAGTAAGGCGTTGACAGCATGACTTTGAATATTAATTAAGAATTTTGGCATAAATATGTGAATTACAGTAAAATGACTGTCAATGATAAATGACAGGATAATGGCTTAAATGTAATAATTCTGATCTTATTCATCAGGTCTCACACACACTGCAGCATCACGCATGTTTACGAGCCTTTCTCAGATCGGCTTACGTTAGATTAAAACTACAAGTTCTGTTGAGTTTGGAAAATGTCTGCACAGTAATCATCAGAGCAGGGCCGCGCACAGACTTTTTGAGGGACAGTGGCCCAAACCAAGAAAAGGGGCACAAGGAGGGCGGGTGCTTGTTATTACAAATCATCCAGTTGTTACAAATATACAATTAAAAGAGAAGACAGCACACTCTGTAATAATTTCAAACTTTATTGTAGATGTTTTGATAAGAGTGGTCTCTCTCCCTCTCTCTCTGAGCCTGCTTCTGCCTCATCTTCAATGAGAGTAGGGGAGAGTGGGGTAAGTTGACCCACCCCCTGTATCTTGGCAACTGTACACTTTTACTCTCATGTGACCATGTTTTTTGGAGCCACCCTTCACCTAAGGAGAAACACATGGGGGGAATGGAAGGCACCCATTTACTTTAAAAACAGTTTTTGGCTTGTCAAAGTAAACTTCTAGCATAACAGATGTAATGGTTGTTACATCAAAGCAAATTTATCCAGGTCAAAAAATATTTATGATACATATAGGTGATTTAGCAACATATAAAACCATGCAAATCATTTAGCTACATATTAGCCTGAACTGGTAAGAAACAGTAGCTATTTTTTCCCAAAATGGCAGCTATTATTGTGTAATTTTATTGAAGTATTATGTGAAAATGTCAGTAATCAATATATGGATTAATGTGCTGAATTATGTTAACCCTGGATGTCATAGAACGAATAATAGTCTTTTCATTAGACAGTGAACCTTTCATTACAAAGTGCACCTGTGAACTTGAAATAATGTAACAACACGTATAATGGTCTTTTCTTTCATTAGACAATGGACCTTTCAGTAGACAGTAGACGTAAACATGAAATAATCTAATATTATCAGGAGCAGGTGGATGGATGTGACGCGCACATCTTGTATGACCACATTACCAACCAATGAAATAAAAGCCTTTTTAAAAAATGTCTGATCGGACAAGAGTTGGAAACAATTGTGGCAAATCAGGTATCTATAACCAATA